TGTTGACCAGGATGGTCTCGATCTCTTGACCTCGTGATCCACCCGCCTCGGCCTCCCAAAGTGCTGGGATTACAGGCGTGAGCCACCGCGCCCGGCCCATTTTTCCCCATTCTGTAACTTGTATTTTGCTGCTATGGGGAAGATAGCTGTTATGTTTATCCTGTTGTTTAGCTTTCAATTCTAAAGTGAATATGGGCCGGGCGCAGCAGCTCACGCCCATAATTCCAGCACTTTGGGAAGCTGAGGCAGGCGGATCACCTGAGCTCAGGAGTTTGAGACCAGCCTGGCCAACATGATGAAACCCCATCTCTACTAAAAATACAAAAATTAGCTGGGCATGGTGACAGGCGCCTGTAATCCCAGCTACTCAGGCGGCTGCAGCAGAATTGCTTGAACCTGGGAGGTGAAGGTTGCAGTGAGCTGAGATCGTGCCACTGTACTCCAGCCTGGCAACAGAGCACGACTCCATTTCAAAAAAAAAAAAAAAGAAACCCCATGTCTACTAAAAATACAAATACAAAAATTAGCCAGGTGTGGTAGTGGGCACCCGTAATCGTAGCTACTCAGGAGGCTGAGGCACAAGACTGACTGGAACCCAGGAGGCAGAGGTTGCAGTGAGCCAAGAATGTGCTCACTGCACTCCAGCCTGGGCAACAGAGTGAGACTCTGTCTCAAAATATTTTTAAAAAAAAATATTTTAAGCCAATACAAACCCCCTGTGAACCTCACTCAGCTTTGAAAGTGCTCCTACAAATCATCTACTCCAGTCCCCTCTACGACAAGTAACCCTTGCGTGCACTTGTCTGTGTGCATTCTCAAATGTGTTCTTGTCTGTCTGCTTTTATTCATTTTTAATTTTGCCTTTTTCCACATGTTCTAATCTGTCTTTTTGTTTGTTTGTTTGTTTGTTTGTTAACCAAGCTTTGGTTCTGTCTTTCTTTAAAAGTGTGAAGGAAGAAGTGTTCTGGAGGAACTACTTTTACCGCGTCTCCCTGATTAAGCAGTCAGCCCAGCTCACAGCCCTGGCTGCACAACAGCAGGCCGCAGGGAAGGAGGAGAAGAGCAATGGCAGAGAGCAGGATTTGCCACTGACAGGTACATTCCGGGTAGAAGACAGCACTCTACAGAAAAACCTATTCTTAGAGACTCAAATGAGCTTGACCTCTTATATGTACCAGAAATGTCATTGTCTTAGGGAAAATTTCTTTTCCTCCCAGAGGAATCTTCATTTCTCTTACTGCCTTCTCTCTGACCCAACTCACACATGTCTTCCCCAAGCTTTCCTTTACTTTCCTTATATCTCCTTTCTCATTCCTTGTTTTTATTTTTGTTTTTGTTTTTAGACAAGTGTCTCACTATGTTGCCAGGCTGTCCTTAAACTCCTAGACTAAAGCGATCCTCCTGCCTCAGCTTCTCAAGTAGCTGGGACTTAACAGGCATGAGCCATTGTGCCTGGCGAGTTTTTTTCTTTTTATTTCCCTTTCAAACATCCATCATCTTCCCCACCTCTCATTGTTGGCCCTTAACCATGTGACTCTTTATACTCTGTCCTCCGCTTTGATTAAGTCCGCCTCCTTTTTGTTTGTTTCAAGCTGATGTTTCTTCAATGCGTGTAGTCTGTAGAGCAGAACGAAGCACCATTCTACTGCGAGTTACAAGGATCTGTCTAGTTCTGAGCTAGGCACTGATGAACACTGGACTCATTGTGACACTAACTTACCCTTGGTTGTGGGGAATGTGTTTTACAATAATGGCAGCTGTTTGAAATCTGTAATAATAATTAAAACAAGAAACATATTTTGTATCATATTTTAAATTTGTAGTGAATACCTGCTGTGTATAACAGGTACTCATTACAGCTGGACATTTATCCCACAAGAAGTGGGGTAATTTAATTCATGGAAATTTTTTTATTGTTTGAGTTGGAGTCTCACTCTGTCACCCAGGCTGGAGTGCAGTGGCTCCATCTCGGCTCACTGCAACCTCCGCCTCCCGGGTTCAAGCAATTCTCTGCCTGAGCCTCCCGAGTAGCTGGGACTACAGGCGCCTGTCACCATGCCTGGCTAATTTTTGTATTTTTAGTAGAGGCAGGGTTTCAGCATGTTGGCCAGGCTGGTCTGGAACTCCTGACCTTGTGATCCACCTACCTTGGCCTCCCAAAGTGCTGGGATTACAGGCATGAGCCACCACACCCAGCCTAATTAATGGAATTTTAAATGATTAAGCAAAACAGCATGTCCCGAGGTACAGATTATACAGAATACTAGGACAGGCTCTGATACTGCTCTTACTGTCAGGGAAATGGAGTGAAGTTGCTCTATACAGGAAAATTTGTCATTTTGTGTGTCAATGTTAACATGCATTCCAATTGTCTGTCATTCTTTAGCTTATGTCAATTTTGTTTGAAAATGCCATTTTACCAAATACTGCCTTGTTTAACAAAATGGACAGTATTCCATAAAGACTCATCACAGTATTCCATAAAGACTGCCTTTTTCTAGCACTCATGTCAGCAGGCAAACTTGATAAATAACTTAATTCTCATTATCCTAAAAAAGTACTGAACTGGGCCGGGCGCGGTGGCTCAAGCCTGTAATCCCAGCACTTTGGGAGGCCGAGGCGGGTGGATCACGAGGTCAAGAGATCGAGACCATCCTGGTCAACATGGTGAAACCCCGTCTCTACTAAAAATACAAAAAATTAGCTGGGCATGGTGGCGCGTGCCTGTAATCCCAGCTACTCAGGAGGCTGAGGCAGGAGAATTGCCTGAACCCAGGAGACGGAGGTTGCGGTGAGCCGAGATCGCGCCATTGCACTCCAGCCTGGGTAACAAGAGCGAAACTCCGTCTCAAAAAAAAAAAAAAAAAGTACTGAACTATTCTTCAGTGAATTTTCCTAACATTGAAGTCCTGCTGACAGTTTTATATAAGGAGTATTGAATATGATGACATGTTAAAAATATCCCCAGGAGGCTGAGGCAGGAGGATCACTTGAGCCCAGAAGTTCAAGTCCAGCCTGGGCAACATAGTGACACCCTATGTCTAAAAATAGATAGATAGATAGATAGATAGATAGATAGATAGATAGATAGATAGATAGATA